GTCAGAGATCTGGGGGAGCTGTGGAGCACTGTGCTTTTCCTGGTTTATAAGGCTACCTTGTTGCTCTGCCGGGGAACCTTTGGTGGCCCTGAGAGTTCACTGCAGTGGAACAGAAAAAGGGGCACATCCAATCACTTAACCTCTCCGGTGCCTCAGTTTCCTTATTTTCAAAAAGTAGGGGGTTTTTAAAGAATGCCTGACAAGGAGCCATATAATAAGTAGTTTCCTTCCTTGTTCTACCTATGGCTACCTCACAGTCAATTTATTGAAGTAGCTGTACTGAATGAAGATGTCATCTACCAGAGGTGCTTTAGGGTGCCCTGCCTGCTGGACTTCATCAGTGGCTCTTTGCTAGACCAAACACAACAGAAACAATGCCCGGTTCAGTTTCAAACCCTAACAAGTTATGTTGGTCTCCAAAGCCTATTTAAGAAGCATAGCCCTAGCTGTGATCTATGATTCTGTGAGGTCTACAGAGAGTAGCTAGAACGTTTGCAGCATCTTCTAGTACCAACCTCAATATGGAGCGGTTCTGTAATCCAGAATCAATATTTGAATCATCTGCTGACCCACGGTGCGCAGGAAGCTCTTCCAGCTAACTTAGGGCTCTTCAACTCAATAAGCCCAGTATTACTTACTCTTAAATAACTCCCATCAGTGCAATATTCTGTAGATTACATGCTACAAATTCTATAAAAATCAAAAGTCAATCTGAGAATCTACAGGCAGGAAACGACATAATTTCCAGATTTGATATCTAATTTTAGTCCAATTAAAGGTTCCAAAAAGGCCAGAACTAAGCCCTGCTCTGAGACCTATTCAACAACATTCAGGCCTTTACCTAAGTTTTGCTTTTCACATCTATGCGAGCTCATACAATAACAAAACAAAAAGATTATATTTTATTCCAGGTCAGACACGTGGATGAGATGGAAGCATTAGACAAGTCATGGAGGAGACAGAGCTATTCTGGATTTTGACACGAGGAAGAAGTAGAAAAATTAACCCCTAATTTGTGAGTAGGTACAAAGGAACCAGTCCCAGAGAGGACAGCACAAGAAAGGGAAATTATTGTGAGAGGCTGGAAAGGAGGAAAGAGTATCTCTAGGAAGGAATTCTTTCTGAGACATCACAGAAAAGAGTGAGAGGAGGTATTTAAAGAGAAAAATTAGTATCATGGTGATACAATAAAAGTGAAAAAAAATCCTTAGTAAATTTGGTGAACAAAGCTCGGCATTTTTTCGAGATATTAAAGAAATGGAAGGGTGGTGGAGACATTCTCAAAAAAGACAGTTTGGGGAAATACCGCAATTACCACCAAGTATTTCTTGAGTAATTATTATGTATCTATTACTGGAGTAGGTCCTTCATTGTGGTTGAAAGTTATAGAGGACGTTTCTAGCCAGGAGTTTACAGAAGTTTTGCAGAAATAAAACTAGTAGGTAATATTTTGTATTTGATGACGATGAAGCAATTAGGGGATAATTAAAAACCAAAAATATGTGGAACTAGGTCTAAGAAAAGTGGGAGTTCTGAGCCAGGAAATCTCCGTGTGAGCTGGGAGAGCCAAGGATGGGTTCTTAGAACCAGTGTTTACAGGCACAGGGACAAGCAGAATGTTGGGAAGCCCAGGGGCATGAGTTCTCTGAGGACCAAAGCAGAGGTGCGGGAGGGAGCAAGCACTGAGTCTGTAAAGGATATTGTACTCATATACAGAACTGTGTTATAATCACCACCTCAGAGTAAGAACCAGATTCACTTTTCTCTTTTATAAAGAAATACATGTCAGGATGAATATGGTATTATAAAACAAGAAATGAGAAAAAAAACCAGAAGGTTGACAACCTGTCAACTAAATATCTTTGGTGATAAATAACTACATTAAAAAAATTAATTTTCTTTTTGAACTAGATTTCATTTTATACTTCACTGGATTTTTCATTAGACCATCTGGAATAATATATCTTCCAATTTGAAATAATTGTACCTTGTTCATAACTGTGTCCATGTTCCATGACACACATTCTGAATACATCAATATCTCTCATCTTTACTGCCCTCACCACCTCTCTCACTCACACCTGGCTGTCAAAATATAATAAAATATAGGTGGGAATTATAATACCCATGAATATAGCAATTAATATATCTTAGGAAGAATTTTGGCTTACTTCAAATAATCTTATACCAATCTGGCATTGAAATACCAGATATAATTTCATATTGTTAATTTTCCACAAGAATGTTTATCAATTCACAATTTAGCCAGTGGGCTTTACTTCAGAGGGAAGACACACACACTTCAGTAAAGGAAGGAGAGAGGCATTACAAGAATGATCTTGTAAGTCACTCATTAACCTCCCCACTCCACCCCTCACCACCAGTCCAATTTCAAGTTAAGAGAGAAAAGCCCAGTGACCTAAAATTTGCTAATTATTCCAAGGGACAGAAAACAAGGATGAAAAAATTTCCAGCACAATGTCATTGTAAACATAATGAATATCTCCCAACTTTGTTGAGTTCCTTCTACAAAACAAATAAAAACTTGGTCGCTCTTCTGGTACAAACTTGAATTAGTAATTATACTGATTCTTTTATCTTTCTCTTCCAACTTTTGTGGGTTAAAACAAAATGGTTCAAATTCTGTTGCTTTGATATAAATACCCAAACTGAATGTATGCTATATTGCACATATAAATTTTCAGTCATCAAATACGTGGAACATCTGTCCCAAGTAATTGGATAAAATACAGCTGGGTTACATTGGGTCATAGACTGGTTTTACAAATTACAGTTGCCTTCGAAGTGCTGTTTATGGAGGTGGAAAAGGACTCCTGTAGACTAGTAAATCCTTCTGTTTGCAGTGTATATGCACAATCTCAGAGCTACTCTTCCCACAGAGCCCAGTTCTCCTCACACCCTAGTTGCAATATCTGAGTAGACAATGGGGAAGCCAGATCTCAATTATTCAGGGTGGCTAAAGATCCCCAGTGGTCCTGCCAAAAGTACCTCAAACCATATATTTGTAGAGGGCATGGAATTTCTAGGACTCCTGGAGAAACAGGAAGTCCTCTGGTCTTGGAAAAAATGTAAGTAGTCTGTAGCCTTAGAAAGTGGGTTTTCGGTTGTTCCATCAGGGTAAGACTGAAGAACAGACACCCAGAGGGGCCCTTAGGCGATCCATCTGGTAGCACTGTGAGTACATAAGCCTGTTTCTCCATCAAGTAGGCTGGCTTGTGATAATGTTTTTAAATATATTTTTTATTTATTTCAGAGAGGAAGGGAGAAAGAGAGAGAAACATCAGTCAGAGAGAATCATTAACTGGCTGCCTCCTGCACGGCCCCCGCTGGGGATTGAGCCCACAACTTGGGCATGTGCTCGGACCTGGAATGGAACTGTGACCTCCGGGTTCATAGGCCAACGCTCAACCATGGAGCCAGGCCAGCCAGGCTTGTGATGATTATTCATATTTGGATCAGGCCACGGATTTGTACCTGAAAGCCACCATTTCAATGATGTTTGGTAAAGCTGTTTTAGGTAATTAGAACTTATGTATACTTTTTCAAAACTATCTTTGATTCAGTTTAGTTTTATCAGAATTCCAGAAATTTTTATAATTATCACTCTGGTAGATACTATTCTAAATTAAAACAACAGCGATTTAAAAATTCCCCATTACTGAATTTCGATACAAATTTCCATCTTACTGAAATAGCAATAGCCAAATTCATTTCCTAGAACTAGATTCTCCTACCAACTCTCTCCTATTAAATGAAACTTAAAGTAAAGGAAGAAAAAAAACAAACTATGTCATAGTTTGGACTTTACATGTATTTTTCCCCTTTGTCCCTACCCAAAAAGGGATTGCTAGTATCTGAAGTTCTGGTTTAGAAAATACATTACCAGTCTGAAATGAGAGTTACAATAAGAATGTTAAGATGCTATGGAAACACACTTCAAAAGCCTTCTTGTAGGCAGCCCCTCTGATTCAAAATTAGTCAGGGCAACAGGAAAATATAAACTGCTTCTTTTCTAGCTCTCAGTCTCTGAGGTTGTTTATTCAATTCATAAAATCATAGAATTATAATACTGGAAGAGACCATGTCAATTGCCTAGTCCAATCTCCTAATTTTACAGATAAGAACAAAGAGATTATTGTTTTTATGTGTACCCAGCCAAAATTAAATGTACAACTGAATTCAATACTTCTAATTATGTATTTAGGCTTCTAAGATACCTGTTGCTATAAATGAAACTCCATTTCTAAAGTCACAGAAACTTGTATTCCATATGTTTAATAATAAAACTTCATTGCATCCCTCAGATAATGTTGCCACTATTGAACTAGCCCTTGTCTTTAGGAAGCTCTAACTCATGCTAAGTGAGATGTGATCATCTAAAATCAGTCAGACTCTAAGCATCTGTAAAGCAAGGCTTATAACTTACCTGGCTTCACATCCCTAACAACTAGTAGAGCACCTATCACGAAGTAGGTGGCTTTTTTAATATGTTGACTGGCCAAATGAATGAATGATTGCTCTGAATATCTGGGTAGCAAAATAAACAGAAGTGCAACATGACCACCTTCCTGGGCTAGCTAAGGTTGTTTGGTTGTGCTCTAGGGTCTTTATCAGCACTTGGATTCACCATGGTTTGTCATCACAGGATTTTACCTGAAGTTCTCACAAAAATAGGTACCACCCTTACAGCTTTATATTCTTAATACTCTGAAAGTGTATTGGAAATAGTCCAACAGCAGCAGGACTGAAAGAAAACCTGCTATTAACTAAAGACATTTCTAAGCTGCGAAACCATTTACACACTCCTCCTTCTCTTTCCACTTTAAGCTTATTTCACCACAGAATCATATGGTCATTTAAACTCAATGTTGCTGTTTGGAATTTAAGCAAGTGTGAAGACTTCTTTTATTCCAACATGCTCCCTGTCTTTCCTCAATTCTCTTAGTTCAAAGGACACTAGAGAAATGTAAACATCTTACCATCCAGATGGTCCACGTAGCAATACACGTCATAAGTTTCATGAGGAGAACGGAATCCATAGGTCCTGACACCTTCCTTCCCCATCATATCTCCATAACAGCCTTCTCGAGGAGTCCGGATGGGATATCTTGGGAAAGAAAGGACTAATAATTAGTACTTTATTCTCACTCCCAAATTGATGAATTAAAAACTGTGGCCCCCAGACATCTTACCTAACGGTCTGATCAGACAGCCAGCCTGCATCACACTGCTCAAATCCGTCTTCATAGGCAGCATTGAGCTGCTCTGGACTTGCTATGACTGCCCCAACATCCAAACAAGCCTTCTGTGCATTCTCAAAATTCAGAGTGTACCTGCTGGTTGCTGCCCTGTAGTGAAATACAACCCCTGCAAAGATAGCAGCAAACAATTACTGGCATGTTCAAATCTCCCACAACAATGTGCAAAGTTTCTCACTGGAGCAGTATATCAGATTAATTGCTAACATGGTAATAACATCATGATAATTCTTTATTTTTGCTTTGTGTAGCATTATGCAAAATTATGGTGATATGAGGAGCCCCAGAAATGCCATTCACCTAGGTCTCCCACTTTGCTCCATTAGAAAGTTTCCTAGCCACAGATTCTCTGTTCACACATAAACAATCTAAGATTTAAGCCACTAAATCCCAAGGGGTGCATAGTTGACTTAATGCATGATGTATTTAGACTATCATAGGAACACTGAACAACTAAAGGGAATAGGTATTTCAAGAGATACAAAGAGTTAAGGGGGTCACAAGACCTGCTTCTACTTCATGACTTTTTCCACGGCCAACTCAAAAAACAAAACACACACACACACACACACACACACACACACACGGAACATTCAATAATATCACTTCATAAACACCCTAGACATACAACATGAGATATTTACTTCCGGAGACAATATGTTAAGGTGGAAAAGATATCACACTATGTATAAGTGAGAAGTCTTGTTTTAATTCCTAATTAGCTCCTTGATCATATACAAGTCTCTAATCATATACTGAGCCTCAATTTCCTCCCCTAAAGCGTAATTAATATTGCTTATGTTATTTGACTGATATGACATTCAACTTAGGTAAAGAATTTTAAAATGTTGGCTAGGCTACTAACTACTATTCAAATGTGTATCATGTCCACTAACTGACCAGCATATTTTAGGGTCTCCCCTATTACAAATAAAATGTAGGGACTTTTATCCCAAAGAAGTCCTGAAATAAAGTTCTCCCAATTCCCTGGGTAGAAGTCAGGAATCCTGGTACTTGCCGCAAATTCCATTTTGTTGTACTTTAGGAGCTGCATAAACTAGTAGTTCTTGCTGAGGAAAGAGGGCTGAGGAAAGAACAGCTGGAGGTGGAGCTGTGAGTCCTCTCCTCTCACTTCAGCAAGAGAATCACAATTTTTTAAAAAATATGTTTTCATTGATTTTTAGAGAGGAATGGATAGGGAGAGAGAGAGAGAAACATCAATGCTGAGAGAGAATCATTGACTGGCTGCCTCCTGCATGCCACACACTGGGGGGTCGAGCCCGCAATCGGGCATGTGCCCTGACCGGGAATCGAACTTGACCTCCTGGTTCATAGGTCGATGCTTAACCACTGAGTCACGCTAGCTGGGTGAGCATCTCCATTTTTAACTGGAGTAAATATGGTGACTTATTTCTATAAGTCTGCAAAGTGACTCAAGCTAATGTGCCTGAGAAGTCACTGGAAAATAGAAATTGGGGCAGCTGGGTCTCATGGATAAGATTTTATTGAGTCACATCACAGAATGAATTTTGGTTTCTGAACTATCTTCCACTCTCCTTTTACTCCTAATAGTTTACTGGGGTTGACAAGAGTCTGTCGTTCCCGTTCTGACTTCTATTTATAAGAATCTCCGACATGCACATCCTTAGATTCTCTCTCTGAGGCGTGTGCCAATAAAATAACTATGGGGCAACAGACTAGCCATGTCACAGATAAGGACATCGGATCAGGACCAACACAAAAAGACCTGTGTAGATGCACTGACATCTAACATTTGTTTTTCCATTTCTAATATTGTAAAAAAAAAAAAAAGGCATCAAATGCCTTTCAGAAAATTTGTACCTTTATAGAACTAATCTGAAATTGCCAAGAAGTATATATGGTGGCATTGGGGAAGTATGAGACATAGTTTGTAATAATCCCTAAGGCTTAAGCAAGAATTTGAACAGTTTTGGATTAGTCTTATGTTGATGGATGCTTCAAATAGTCTTCTTGCTAATTAAAAATCTTCCGTGCGCACTGATGATTGGCAGTAAAGGCGCACAACAGGGCCTCCATGACCAAGGCAGGAATATCAGCCTGTACAGGTATCTGCAACTGTTGGGAGAATTTGAAGATCTCATGGGGCCAAGGAGATTAAGCAGAGGATTTTCATTGTTTCAGAAGGGCAAGGGGCAAATCCATTGCTAATTCTTTAATGATGAAAATCGTAAGAAGTTGTTAAACTCCTTTGTATATTTTCAATATATGTATATTTAATATATTTATATTTATATAGTATATATTTATATACACTGTTGTATAGATTTATATATAGTGTGCATCTTACACTATTACCCATCTATCTAGAGAAACAGAAATAGAACAAAACAATTCTATGCTAACTAAAATAAATGATAAAAAGCTTAAAAGATGGATGAGTCCACAGTATTTAGTCTATGCCTGGTTAACATAAAAATAGATTTATGGGAGAGAGCTATAGAATCTGATTGTAAAAGGATGTCCAGAAAATTAACTTGTTGCATCTGAAATTTAAAGTATTTCCTTTTGGCTACACAAGAAAGAGTTTTAATAAAGCCCTTTGTATATATTTCTGAAAGGTAAATATAGGGAAATGGAAGGTTGGAAGAAAATTATGTTCCATCATGTCTGGGTTCGAGAATTTTGCTTAGTAACTTGCCAAAATATTCTTCTTCCAAGAGCTATGGCATTATGAATGTACCCAATTAAAGCAATTTTTCTTTGCCTTGTCTCCTAACTTAAATTCAAATGACATATAAACCACTACTGAAAGAAGGCTAAAACCCAAATGTTTCATTGCAGGACTTAATAGCTAACTATTGTATAAACCTTAAAAAAATTCACTGAGTTCTTGTTTTGATCCAATTCAAATATTTATTGAGTCCTTTTAGGCACCGTGGTACTTATTAAGTGCCTTCTATCTTCAATGTAAATTAAGATAAAATTTATATTTCTTACAGGTGAACTCAAAGATTTTAAATAATGTTAGGAGTGTGAGAAAAAAATAAGTAAAGGGGATTTTATCGTGTGTGTATATACATGGATATGTGTATATGCATATGTGTGTATATGTATATGTGCATACACACACATGTAAAAATTAAAATAAAATAGATTAACATGTACAGTCTTAAAAAGCTATCATTGATAGGTCTCAAGAACAAAGTAATGATCTTGAACTATATACCATGTCTTCATATTCATTATTTCCAGAGTATAATGAATCATTGTACATTATTTACAGACTACATTGAATCATTGAAGTTGCTGTGCAAGAAGTCACCTCCCTGGCTCCCCTACCCCCAATAAATAACAGTTCATTTTGGTGAAAGACATGGACTGTTGGGATGACTGATGGTTTTTCCAATTGTCCAAACCCCAAACAAGAGTTACTGTTCCACAACACTTCTGAACCAGGTATCATGTTTTACTACCTTCTTATAGATTCCAAAAGCCTTACCGTCCACCGTCAATGACACTGTCTCCTGTGTGTCTTCAATCCCAAACATGACATCGCAGCGGTAGAGTCCCGCGTCGCTGGCAAGCAGTTTGACCATGGTGAGTGAGGCATCACCCACATCCTCGGGATGTGTAGGCACAGACACTCTCCCCTTGTAGTCCTGGCCAATCTTGATATTCCCATCTTGAGCCACAAGAACAGTAGTCTCCTTTAAATCCTTTCCACTCTTGTCCAATTCAATCTTAGACCATTTGATTCGGAGAAATTCGCTGGTGTTATAACTGGGTGGTAAGGTGGGCATGGTTGAGAAATGACAAGGTAGGTTGACTTTTCCAGAGAGGGAGCCCTTCACAGGTGGGCTTTTTTCCACTTTGACTAGAAGAAAGAGAAAATACCAAATTAACATTCCTAAAAAAGCCCAAACTGAGTCTATTTAATATGTGAGTGGAAAAGAAACTCTTATCCATATCCTATCTAATAAAAGCCTAATATGCTAAGTGTCCGGTTGTCCAGTCATCCGTTCAACCAATCAAAGCGTAATATGCTAATGATATGCTAAGGCCACTCAACCACTCACTATGACATGCACTGACCACCAGGAGGCAGACAGTCAACCAGTTGACCAGTCGCTATGACGTGCACTAACCACCAGGGGGCATATGCTCTAACCAGTAGGTTAGCTTGCTGCTGGAGTCTGGATTATCAGGACTGAGCAAGACGGGCCGGACAAGCCCTGGAGCCTTCCCATGGTCCCTCCCTGGCTGGCCAACCTCCCGCGTCCCTCCCCGGCTCCGATCATGTACCCATGGAGGCCCTTGGCCTAGCCTCCACCCTCTCGCAATCTGGGGCCCCTTGGGGGATGTTGGAGAGCTGGTTTTGGCCTGACCCTGCAGGCATTAAAGGCTAATATGCAAACTGACTGAATGGCAGAATGACCGGTCACTATGACATGCACTGACCACCAGGGGGCAGACGCTCAACACAGGAGCTGACCCCTGGTGGTCAGTGCATTCCCACAGGGGGAGCACCACTCAGCCAGAAGCCCTGAGCCGAGCTCACAGGTGGCCAGCGCAGCGGCGGTGGTGGCGGGAGCCTCTCCTGCCTCCACAGTAGTGCTAAGAATGTCCTGCAAGGAGCAGGCCTAAGCTGGCAGTCGTACATCCCCTGAGGGCTCCTGGACTGAGAGAGGGCACCAGTCGTGCTGAGGTACCACCTCCCCACCCCCCAGTACATGAATTTCGTGCCCCAAGCCTCTAGCATGAAATAATGAGAATGATTTTCTACACAGAGAATAGTATATAATTTCAATAATGTTCATAACAAAGACAGGGATAAATAATGTTCATTTTATCCACCAAAAATATGATATTAATTTTAAATTATTTGCAATTCAGTGTTTAACATGAACAAATAAGTGATACTATAAGGCAACTATAGGAGAGCAAGCAATCAAGGCCAAAATAAGATTAGAATCAGCCATGCAGGTTGAAAGGACTAAAACAATGCTAGAAAGAGCAGTTAAAAGGTAAATTTATGTCACAGGTCAGAAGATGAAAAATGTTTGTTAAGATAACTGCCACATTACCTTAAAGGAAATGAAAATAAAACTCAAAGAGGAAGTGAAAATTAAAAAACTACTTCTGGAGACTGGAGCGGGGCAAGTCTAACACTTGGAGGGACCCTTTTTGGTTCAGGGTTTAAACCAAAGGCTTTCATCATAATGACAAATCCAGCTGCAATCACTTTGCAGTGAAACATTACCTCTAGATTATATCCTGGGGGAAAGTTGGCAGCTGTTCACATAACTGTCCTAAAGTATTAATCAGCACAATGTCTTTCTGTTTAAACCTTTAAACTTTTAATGAGAAAGAAGGCATTGGCTACAATTTAACACTATTACATGCAAAAGAAATTTTCTTTCACTCCCTCCCCACCCTAGCCCCATCTTCCAGTCTACTAATTGGCCAGACAATATTTTGGTAATAACAATAGAAATTATTATTAATATACAAGCAACTTACACTTAATGAAAATATGATGAACAAGTTAATAGTAGCCTCTAGGTGGAGTGAAATAATGATTTTTAATTAACCAAATGATGTATATCTAACACTTAGTATGTTAATGGTCAAAAGTGTTGGTAACACACATGTGAATATGGATATGCATCAGAAATTATATAGCTGTCAATATAGCCCTGTGGATTCAGTGGGGATAAGTCATTTTGAAAATTGCAGGAAGATGTGAAGATATTATGATCTTTAAGAAAAAAAATACTCCCTATTGCCAGAGATTGAAATTTAACTTCAGAAGGACTGGCCTATAAAATCCTTCATGTGATACAATTAAATATGAAATAACTAATACAGTTTAATATTTACTGTATTGATTACAGAAACCAGTAACCATTCCAAATTTATAATAATCATTGCTGTCATAAATTTCTTTATCATTTTATCAAATTATATTAAGCTTGTTCAAAACTGGATTTAAGGCATTCAAGATCAAATAAACATTAAGTGAAGTGTGCTATTAGCTGAACTAAGTTAATCTTTAAAATGTTACAAACACTATTAATATTTTAGAATCTAATAGCAATGGAATAATCCTATTTTTAATGGCCTCCTTGACTTACAAAATAAATTCTCTTACTTAAAGCTCATCCTGAGTGAAAATGGTCCCATCTTTCACTAAGGATGCTCCACTAAGAGGAAGTGACATTCTAGATCCCAGCTGGCTGGTGACACACCTAGGCCAGAACACAGATCTCCTTACACCTAATCAAGGAATCTTTCAGCTTTGGTATCTAATAGGATCTTCCTTTGTCCCTGAATTAGTTTTGTTTCATTTCCAGAGTCTGTACCTAGCCTATTTCTAATCCATCCTGTTTTTTAAATTACTTTCTGAACTGAAAACTGTTAGCAATTCCATGATCTTTAAAATAAATCTATAAAGTCCACAGAAGACTCCCAGAGAGAAACTACTACCTGGTACATAGTCCACTAATTCAGAACCCATTAGGGAGACAATGACTACACAATTTTTTTATTTTTTACTTATTTATTTATTTATTTAGCCAAGAATAGGGGTGCTGAGAAGGGAAGGGGTGAGAATTCTATGACCTAAGAACCTCCTAATTGACATTTATCTTTATGTTCTAGAAAATCTTATCTTCCTTCCTGAAGAATTATTTATATGATTGACTTCACCAGAAATAAAGTATTGCTTTTTATAATGGAGAAATAACAACATTATCATCAACCTCAATGATGGTATAAATTATAAGACTCTTTATCACCTCCTTAAAAATGATTCTTAGGCAGTGGTCGGCAAACTGCGGCCCCTTGAGTGTGGCTCTTCCACAAAATACCACGTGTGGGTGTGCACGTACAGTGCAATTGAAACTTTGTGGTCACACTCAAGGGGCCAAAGAGCTGCATGTGGCTCGCGAGCCGCAGTTTGCCGACCACTGTTCTAGGGTAAGTGACTTCCAGTTTCTTAATTTATTACTAAATGATAGTTCTTTTCACAGTTTTAGATGTGTAGGAGCAGAAATGAGATTCAGCCCAATCTATCCAATCGGGAGGTTTCAGAAACTTAGAGCATTTCTTAATAACTCTGTGGTAATGAAAAGACATATTGGAACAAAATGATGTCAAAAGGAAAACTTTCCAAGGGCTATGTATTGTCCTGGATGTTTATAGGTACAAGAAAAGTAAAAGCTTTGGTTAGTTAGATATAAATATATATTCCATATAGAATCCAGGATTAACGAAAAGCTGTGTGGTCAGCTCTTTTGTGTATGAAATCGTGGGTCTTAATGTACTGGGTCACAAAAACTAAGTTCACTAAATCTAAATATTTTAAGAAAGAAATTAAGTAGTTCAGAGGATAATGTTTATAGACTATTCCTGTTTTAAAAAGAAAATTGCTACCTGCAAGAACTTGTCTGAAATTCTGACAATCCAAGTAATAAAAATGAATGCTAAAAAAAATTCACTGTTCCCACCAGATGGTTAGTGATCTAAATGAATACAGTAAGAGAGAAATAAATAATGAATAACCAATTATCTTTCATTCTCTGTTAGTCAAATTGTAGAAGAAGGCTGATGTGAATTCCATCTACATCATTTGATCAAACACACATATAAACACAGAGACCTTGGCCAAAAACATGTCAGATTGAGAGTATGGGAATTTATCTCTTTCTCAGGTGATAAACATTATTCTCTTGTTTATTTGTGGAGAGCGGCTCCCAGGTGGCTAAGTGATACAGGCTGCCTGAGATGCAGCAAGTAAACAAAGCTTGATCAGGTGCATGTAATTGAATAGATTCAAAACCCATGAGAATGTTGTATACATCTTGACCACGCCCTTACTTTGCCTGTGGAATCTGGATATAAAATAAAGACTCGGCTTGCAGGCAGCACTGTCTCTCCATCAGAGAGGGCAGCGTCCCACCCAGACCCAGCTTTATTCTCTTGTCTGTCTCTTCTTAATCCCTCGCCGCCCCCTCTCAGGCTCACCAAACCTGGCTGTGCTGGCGTGGCACATTTATTTACTCATGACTATGCATGACTCCATTTATTAATATTAGAAGAATATTCAAATAACTAGATCAGTGCTAGATAATCAATATAATGGGTATTATTAAAGCAAAGAGCTCTTTGTGTATTAAAATAAAGCCAATGACCCATATGCAAGATGTTCCTTAATGTTAGTTATTGACTTTTTGAAGGCCTAAGAATAAACAGGAAAAAAACTCAGGATGTAAGTACTTGTGTTGACTTACAACTAGGTACTGCTGTGTGCCTAAATATAAACTTGATAAATCTGTTTTATGCGGATTTTATGTTTTCAACTTTGCCTCGCATATAAAAAATTAAATTCTTCTGAAATTAGCCCCAACTAATTGCATTTCTTAATTATGATCATAGTTTTATTTTTTTAAAAAAAAAACCCTTATTTTTGGAGTAAAGTATTTAATACAGTGATAGATATACTGTATATGAATGGATGGGGTGGATGGATGGATGGATGGATGGATGGAGTGATACTTAAACTTTGAATCTTGAAGAATAAGTTGAAGTAGAACTGTAAAGAACAAGAGAATGGACTACCAAGCAGAAAAAATTACTTGAGAAAAGACATGTAATATGAAAGTGTGATGGAATTATAGATTAGTTCAGAGAGTCTGAAGTATAGAATGAGTTGAGAAAAAAGTGGAAGTTGACTCTGGAGAGGTACACTAGACAGGAATAGATCACTGAAATTCAAGGCAGTAACATTCTTCATGGACCATAGTCCACAAATTTGGAATTATAAAACATTCATTTGGTGGATATGTAATTTAAAGCTAAGAAAAAAAGTGCATGTGAACTTATCCAGTTATAGAGGGAAGGGAGGAGAGAGGGAGAGAGGGAGGGAGGAAGGGTAGGAGGGAGAGAGGGAGAGAGAGAGAGAGAGAGAAGAAAGGGAGGTAGGGGCAAATACTTGGCTCTCAGTCTTCTCTTTATTTTCTTGGTTTTTCTCAAAATCTAGTCTCCTGAGAGTTTGATAGTATTTCTTTCTCTCTTTCTTTCTTTCTTTCTTTCTTTCTTTCTTTCTTTCTTTCTTTCTTTTTAGTAGGAAAGTCTTTGAGTAATATTAAAGAAGACGGAAAAATTGCCCAATGACATATATAGTTGGCCCTCTGTAACTGTAAGTTCTGCATCCATAGACTCAACCAACTGAAAATTGAAATTTTTAAAATCTTATGTTGTTGCTGATGTGTACTATGTGGTTCTACACTTCAGACTCTCTGAACTAATCTATAATTCCATCACACTTTCATATTACATGTCTTTTCTCAAGTAATTTTTTCTGCTTGGTAGTCCATTCCCTTGTTCTTTACAGTTCTACTTCAACTCATTCTTCAAGATTCAAAGTTTAAGTATCACTCCATCCAATTTAAATGGTTGCCTCTATACTGAACATGTACAGACTTTTTTCCTTGTCATTATTCCCTAAACCATACTTTACACAGCATTCACATCTTATCTAATAATAGACAAACATGGTAATTAACCGTAACTTCGCTACCCTTCCCATTGGCTAATCAGGGCAATATGCAAATTAACTGCCAACAAAGATGGCGGCCGGCAGCCAGGCAGCTGAAGCGAACAGGAGGCTTGCTTGCTCCAGTGATGGAGGAAGACAAGGTTCCCCGCCTGCCACTGCCGGCCTCTGAGCTGCACTCTAAGAAACAATATTGCAATTATAGAAGCTAAACAAACACTAGGAACCTGCTTTCAGCCAGCTGGGCCTCAGAGCTGGAGCTGCAACAGAGTTTCCATTATAAAACCCAAACAAAACCAGATACCTGCTTTCAGCAACCGAGGCCTCAGAGCTGGAGCCGAGCCTCAGAACTAAAGCTGGCTCTCAGTTCCAGTGACAGCTATAGAAGGTAAATAAATCCCAGAATAAAAAAGAAAAATAGAAAAAAAGGAGTGGTTGGGAGCTTCAGTCACCCGCAAGCCTGAAAATGGCCCTCAGCCCCTACCCAGACTGGCCAGGCACCCCAGTGGGGATGCCCACCCTGAAGGGGGCGTGACCAGCTGCAAACAGCCATCATCCCCTCATCCAGGCTAGCCAGGCACCCTAGTGGGGACCCCCACCCTGAAGCAACAAGATGGCAGCTAATTTGCATACTGAAGGCGGGCGGCAGCGGGCAAGGCTGTCTGTAGTCTAGGACCAGATCTGTGACCCTGCTGGGCGGGGGTCAATGCTTAAGGCTGTCCGGGGTCCAGGACCAGATCTGTGACCCTGCTGGCGGGGGGCTGTGGTGGGGGCCTCTCCAACCTCCTCAGCAGCACTAAAGATGTCAGACTGCAGCTTAGGTCTGCTCCCCGCTGGCAAGTGGACATCTCCTGAGGGCTGCCGGGCTGCCAGAGGGATGTCTGATTGCCATCTTAGGCCCAATCTCCCCGGGAGCAGGCCTAAGCCAGCAGGTGGTCATCCCCTGAGGGGTCCTAGACTGTGAGAGGGCACAGGCCGGGCTGAGGGACCCCTCCTTCCCCCCAAGTGCACAAATTTTTGTGCACCGGGCCTCTAGTTATATTAGGCATTATAAATAACCTATACATGATTTAAAGTATATGGGAGGATGAACATAGGTTATATGCAAATATTATGCCATCTTATATAATAAAAGGATAATATGCAAATTGACCTTAATGGTGGGATGACTGGAGATGACCAGTAACTATGACACACACTGACCACCAGGGGGCAGACACTCAACGCAGGAGCTGCCCCCTGGTGATCAGTGTGCTTCCACAGGGGGAGTGCCACTCAGCCAGAAGCTGGCTCATGGCTGGCCAGTGCAGCAGCAGTGGTGGTGGGAGCCCCTCCCGTCTCCATAGCAGTACTAAGGATGTCCGACTAACGGCTTAGGACTGCTAAACCATTAGTCAGATAACCACCAAGGGCCTCTGGGCTGACAGAGGGATGTCTGACTGCCAGCTTAAACCTGATCCCCCAGGGAGCAGGCCTACGCCATCAGTTGAATGTCCCCCAAGGGGTCCTGGACTGCGAGAGGGCACAGGCCGGGCTGAGGGACACCCTCCCCCCCGCCCAAGTGCACGAATTTTCATTCATTGGGCCTCTAGTGACATAAAATGAATTGAACATTCTCAGATTTTGGTATCTGTGGAGGGTCCTGGAACCAATCTCCTGTGATACCAAAGGGTGGCTGTAGGAGCCTTTTTGCACAGTCTGGAAGTAACCTGGGAAGTTACTGAAAGCCCTCTTGTTTCTTTTGGCATCTTGTTCATTATTTTGTTTTGATTGATTGATTGATTGATTGAAAACCAGTTTTCAGCCTAATAATATTTTAACTAAACATTTTCAGCACTGAATAGATAAAAAAAAATCATCCTTTATTCTAGTAATTCCATATTGCCATTTCATGCCCCAATACTCAAATTTTTATTTTGCTTAGCAACAAGGAAATTGGTACCAGACACTCACCTTTACGTAGTGCATGGGTTGCTATTAAGGTAGAGCACATCCATAAGATGCTCTTTATATTAATCAACATCTTGTCCTGAAAATGAAGAAAAATACAAAGTAAATCATAAGCATTTAGGCTTATGATGGGCCATAAATCACGTTATTTGTACACTACGTGTACATGTAATCAAAGTAAAAGAAGCAGCTCCTTTTGGATTGTAAAATCAGGAGAGAAATTAAAATAGGAGAGGCTGTCCTAGCACTTTAATGATTAGTTTGACTCTCTCCCAATACGGTAGTTACCAAAATAATCCCAGAACCTGATTTGGGGGACATAACAACATGAATGTGTGGGACAACCACAACTGGGTAGGCTATAGGAAGAACAGTCAGGACCACAGCCTTCTTCCTAGTGGCTAGGAACTGGCACAAGAGAAAGGGTTGACCACAAAGTCTGCTTGGAAACAGGAAATTGGTCATAGATGGAGTGAGAGAAGATAGGGAAGCAATAGGGAGAGATGTTGAAAGAAGATTTGTATCAAATGTGAGGTAAGAAGCCTGGTGGTTCATGCACATGATATCAAAACAGAGATTAAAGACTTCAGCAGGTTTTTTTAAAGAACAGACTCAATTTAGTTTCTAGGAAGCTGCACAAACAAAATAAACGTATTATGAGGAACTGTTAATTACCAAAAAAAAAAAAAAAGTAGTGCTTGCCAGGACTTTTAAAGCCATTCTAATAATTCTAACGTCGGAAGGGTAACGAATGAAGGGAAACACCCTGTTCTGAGTCAAGAAACCTGCCCTTGCTTTGCCATTAATTTACTGTGTGACTTTGGGGAAGTCGTTTCAACAAACAGACTCAAATGGTCTCTTCCAGCTCAAATTTCTAAGAAGCTGTAATTATGAAGAAGGTAAGTACTAGTGTTGGGGACTATCTAGAAATCAAAGAGCCAATCTCTGAAGGATTTTGAAGATTATTTGATCTCCACAGTCACGCCCTTCTCAGCCACATTTAGACTATTCTAAGGTAGGCAATGTCGGTCGGTTACAAGTAGCCATTCCTCTTTCTCCTTTCCAACAATACTCTGCTTCCATTCTAGTATCTACCCTCCTTCACACAGACATATATTTTAGAGGACCCTGGGTCAAACCCCAGCCAAGGGGTGACCCTGACTGTCCTAAGGAAATCCAATTCCTGTCACCAGTGATCAGTTTTGAAATAAATGTATAATGTGATTTTGGCCAATGAAATGTGAGGAGATCTCTGCAGGGGTTCGAGCAGGTGCTCCTGGGAAAGGTATATTCAACTTTAAGAGAGCAAATGGAAAAGATGGTTGCTTTTCTTCACTGCACATTATCATGATAGGATAATTCTTCTCGAGCTGTTGTAGCCACCTTTCATCCATGAATGTGTAAGATAGCCTCAGGGGGTGAAGCTCAAAAAGACTCAGGAGAAACAGAGCTTAAGCCTAGAGTGAGCCATACCTTTGAACTTCCTTTTATATGAGATAATAAATTCCTTGCTTATTTAAACCCAGTAAAATCAGGGAATTTTGTTACTTGTAGCTGAAGGCATCTTACTGACACATATTTGAATTAGTGTCCTACATAATTTCCTAACACTTTCCTTACAAAATATCTAAAATCTGTATTATTTAGGAAACCTAGATTGAAAACCAAATGCTATAAGAATCCAAGTCCAATTTAATCTCAGTTTCAATCTCATAATTTATGCCAGCTATTTATTTTTCCTGGATGTTATTCTCCATTTGATTGTTTTATTTTATATATCTTGAAATAAGTGTGAAAATAAAATTATAAGATTCCAGATATTTCCTAAAGAGCATTTTTTAATTTAACACATTACATGTGTATTTTTCAGGCCATTAGACAACTCACAATGAACAGCTGATAATCTTAAAGGAACCTTGACTATTAAATTTATAATTTAGCATGTAATTGCTGGGATATGCTAATAAACAGTGTTTAACACTAACTGGGAAACTAGATTTCTACATTTCTGGAATTATTATAAGATACCACAGCAAACAGAAAGTATACATCTATATCTCAATGCCATTACAATATTTCAGGTAAAAATAAAGATATCAATTTCACACACTCTATAGCAGCGGTTCTCAACCTGTTGGTCGCGACCCCTTTGGGGTCGAACGACCCTTTCACAGGGGTCGCCTAAGACCATTGGAAGACACATATATAATTACATATTGTTTTTGTGATTAATCACTATGCTTTAATTATGTTCAATTTGTAACAATGAAATTGGGGGTCACCGCAACATGAGGAACTGTATTAAAGGGTCGTGGCATTAGGAAGGTTGAGAACCACTGCTCTCTAGTTAAAAGTTTCCATAAAAATGAAATTTTAAATTATATCATAAAACGCTATCAAAGAAAATGCATTCTATGAATATTCACTGAATCCAAATAAGAAAACTTTCTATAAATGTACTTATAAACAATAATATCCTATCATCCTGAAAGAAAAATTGTTCTTAGTTTTTTTTCTGTGGCTATCCACCCCTTCCTCCAGAAATGTTTATAAGCATATTGTTAAAAATCTGGACTCCATGGTCAAGTAGTCCTGAAATTCAAGTTCTGAATCCTGTACTTATACTCTGTGATTTTAGGTAAATTACTAATTCTTTCATTTTCAGTAGCTAATTAATTGTCAAAAGTAAGTACTTAATTGCCCTAGCCAGTTTGGCTCAGTGGATAGAGCAACGGAAGGGTCCCAGGTTCAATTCCCCTTTAAGGGCATATGCGCAGGTTGTGGGCTCAATACCAGTAGGGGGCCTACAGGAGGCAGCCAATCAATGATTCTCATCATTGATGTTGCTATCTCTCTCTGCCTCTCCCTTCCTCTCTGAAATAAATAAAAATACATTCCTTAAAAAGTAGTAATTAGCCCTAACCAGTTTGGCTCACTGGATAGAGCATCAGCCTGCGGACTCAAGGGTCCCAGGGTCGATTCTGGTCAAGGGCATGTACCTTGGTTGCAGGCACAACCCCTGTAGGAGGTATGCAGGAGGCAGCTGATGGATGTTTCTCTCTCATCGATGTTTCTAACTCTCTATCCCTCTCCCTTCCTCTCTGTAAAAAATCAATAAAAATATTTTTTTTTAAAGTAGTAATTATTGGAGTGATTGTAAGAATTGATAAAATAATGCATATGACATATAGCTCAGTGATACACGGTGTACTCAGTACTCAATATTTGTTATTGAACTTACTCATTCAGTCTTTCTCAGGTGTTCTTTTCCTGGTTTCATATTACTAATAGCAAAACAAAAAGTATTTGAAGCTCTTATATTTGATTGTTATAACTTGGGCTACTACTATAGGAGATGTGTGCAATTCTGTGCTTACAATGAATTATCCTATGTGCTTTGAATCAGTATTTGTAAACATGTTTTATCTCCTCTGTAGACCTAGCTCTGGCAGGCAGAGCTAGAACCATATTCAACTTACTAATCCCCACAGTAGTTCCACAGTGCCAGGTTTCGAGTAGACCCCTGAAGGAGATTCATACACCAACCAAATGCATAACTAATGCTTCCATATTCTATTCAGAAACACACTTTTAAGCAGCAGAGTGCCAATAATCCCTTATGAATATGGGCAAGTAGGCTAATTAATACCTGAAGTAGATTTAAATCAGTCTAGTTGGTTATTCACCATGACACAATAATATCTGATGTTTGTCAACATCTAGACTATTGGATCTCATAACAAACCCAGAGTAGAGATATGATCCTGCCCCAGGAATGGATCTCCTACATCCTCATCTCCTCCAAGACAGACACTCAAAGTCTAACTCCATGTACCATACTTCATCCTTAATGTAACAAGTATTCTCACCACTTGCCTTAAAATTGCCCTTAAGACAAGGATAAGGAATGAAGCCAGAATACTGAAAATATAAGGGAGAGATACATTGGTCACATTTTAACTACATTTGTAAAATTATGTTTAAATAAGTTGCCGACATGTAAAACTTTGAGTTTTCATACTAAGTCTCACATCTCTGACTTAAAAAAAAAAAAAATTCAGATCTAGCAACTGTAGGTTCATCTTCCAGCTGGCCAGTCACTAACTCTAAGCAATGAGCAGCCTCTCAGCTTGGCTCTGTGTGCTCAAGGTTATCACTGACCCCACTGGGCTTCTCATCCATTTCTACTACATGCCTGTTCCTTGTAGGCACCCAAATTTACAACCCCGTGATCTAAAGGATGGTCATTATCTCTTTAGTAAATATCTCAAAGTGTTTTACTGAGCTTAGTTGCCTGAGACCATGGGCATTCATTCATTTCTCTAATTTTCTTAAGGCTATGTCCAAGTGCAAAGGCACACTATTTCCCTTCTTGATCCTACTAAGTGAGAAACTTCTTTTTTGTTTTGTTTTTTCAGCACCACTCAAACCCCCATTTCTATTTCTCTGCTCTTCCTGTCAGGCTTGTAAGCATAATCTATTAGTGATAACGAGTCTGTCTACATAGAAAGACCTGGGAGATAGGAGAACCCGTGCCTATATTTAGCATTCTACTCCAGCAAAGTCAATGAGAAGAGGAGAAAGTCTTTGAACAATCAAGACACAGCTGACTGTGGCTGTCTAATTGCCAGGGAGACACAAGAGACAAGGTCAACCAGACTCCTATCCATGAAAAACGACTGCAGAGAGAATAAAGGTCACTCCAGGAATGGGCTGCCTCAGAGAAAGAGAGAGCCAAAGTTCTAGCAAACAGACTTTTAATATTCTCCCTTGATCTTGGGGAAGCCTCACTGAGCAAAGGGTGACTTAAGGACACAAATAGTGGTTTTGTCTTCCGGTCTTTGAATTAGTTACCTCAGACAATCAACTGTCTAGGACAGCGGTCGGCAAACCGCGGCTCGTGAGCCACATGCAGCTCTGTGGCCCCTTGAGGG